AGGTAGAAAAATTAGTTTTACGGTAGGAACATCAGACTTACAGTTTTCCTGGCCCTCAAGGCTTGAACCTGGAAGAGACAGAAGAAATACGTTGAATTCTGAAGCTCCGATTCTCACGAAGTGAGCGCGAGGTGGGAAGACAGTAAAAACTCACAGAGCAGGAGCGTCAGCAGGACTGCGAGCGGCATCGCGCCTCCTCCGGCCCAGCCCGGCCGCATCCTGAGCCGCGGAGACTGCCAGGCACTCTTAGTTCTGCCTTTGGTCCATGCCTCTCAGGCAGAAGGCACTTCCCATACACCGCAGATGAGAAAACTACCCTGTGAAAAGCAGAAACCCCTCTGGCAACTTCCCCGGGCGGCTGCGGAGAGACCGGCTGTGTCCCGGATCAGGTAATGGCGGCCATTGCTGGAAACCAGGAACAATGAGGCCTGGGCTGGCCCGATATCTCCTCAGGAAATGACTGGCCTTCCTGAGGGGCCACCTAGCGCAACGGTCGCTTTGTTTAGTTTCTTTAGGGAAAAAACAAGGCACGAGTGACATTTGCCTCAGCGTTCTTGACCCTTCCGTCCCGCCTGGGCTTTGGGGGCCCTTCGCAAGTGGGATGCGGGGTTCCACCCTGCCTCCACCCAAAGGGCTTCTCTCCCTGGGCACCCAGCAAGGTCCCTCTGCTTTTCCTGTGCTCACCCCAAAAGGGGGCTCTTTCCACTCAGCGTTAATCTGGGCCCCCTAACTTTCCTGGGCTGACTCTTCCCCAAAATCGCAAAATGTGTCAGAGAGACCTGCTGAACTTGGAACTCAGTGGATCCAGGAGGCTCTCCTGGCTTCCCCAGTGGGTTCTGGGGATGGCTTAGGCAGCCCCGTGAGGTGTCCACACCTCCTGGAGGGCCTCCTCTAGCCTGCACCCCCAAACACGTATGTGCTATACCGGGGCACAGGGAGCTTTCTAAGACAGAAATCAGTTCCTTTCACCTCCCCTGTTTGAAACCTTGTAATGGCTCCCCACTGCCCTCCATAAAAAGTCAATTTACAACCCTCCAAAATTCAGCCCTTGCTCATCTTTCTAGCCTGTCTTTCACCACTGCCTTCCTGGCCCCTCCAATCTGGTTGCCAGCATTTCTAGTTCCCAGAACGCTTCATGTTTGTGTAACAGAGCAGTCGCCCCTCCTCCCATAGTTATGGAAGGGGAATACTGACGGGGGATATGTAGCAGAAGAAATGGCTCGGGCCGGCGCAGTGGCTCATGCCTGTAATCCTAGCACTCTGGGAGGCCGAGGCGGGCGGATCGTTTGAGCTCAGGAGTTCAAGACCAGCCTGAGCAAGAGCGAGACCCCGTCTCTACTAAAAAAATAGAAAGAAATTAGCTGGACAACTAAAAA